TGGCCCAGCATTACTAGCAAGCCCTTCAAGCATGCTGAGGAAATGCTAGGCTCCGCCCAGTTTTACGGCAACAGAGTGATCAAGGAGCACAAGGACAAGGACCCAAAACAAGTCGAATGGACCCGCGCCCTCTACCAAATCTTCCGCGATCTCGCCGAATATATCAAGACATACTACAGCAACGGCATTCCCTGGAACCCCAAGGGTCAGTCTGCCAAGGACGTAGCTAAGGCCTTGGACGCTGCGCCCGCTGCTGCTGCTGCTGCTGCTGCTGCTGCTGCTGCTGCTGCTGCTGCTCCTTCGGCGCCCGCTCCCCAGGCCGGCGGCGCACCTCCCCCGCCTCCCCCTCCCGGCCCTCCTCCTGTTCTCAAGATCAACGAAGTCAAGGCCGACCCGGCCCCTGCCGGCGGACTCGGCGCCGTCTTTTCTGAGCTTAACCAGGGCGAGGCGGTCACCAAGGGTTTGCGCAAGGTGGACAAGTCGGAGATGACGCATAAGAACCCATCTTTGCGTGCCAGCTCTGTTGTTCCTGACTCTGGCTCTGCTGCGCGCGGCAAGAGTCCCGCTCCGCCAGGAACCAAGCCCAAGCCTCAGAGCATGCGGGTTAAGAAGCCCCCCAAGAAGGAGCTGGATGGTAACAAGTGGATTATTGTACGTTTTCCCCTCAACCCCTTGTTCGCTCCCCACCCGTTAACGTGGTTGTGTACAGGAAAACTTTGACTCCCCTTCAGAGCCAGTGGAAATCGAAGTGACCATGTCCCACTCTATCCTCGTCTCCAAATGCTCAAACACGACAATCATAATCAAGGGCAAAGGAAACGCCATCACGGTCGAGAACACGACCCGCCTCGCGCTCGTTGTCGACTCGCTGGTTTCAACCGTCGATGTAGTCAAGTCTAAGAACTTTGCGCTCCAAGTGATGGGCACGATTCCTACCATCTTGCTGGACCAGCTCGAAGGCGCGCAGATTTATCTGAGCAAGGAAAGTGTCTCCACAAAGGTTTACACGAGCAAGAGCGACAGTATCAATGTCAACGTCATTGACGGGGAGGACGGCGACTATAAGGAGGTTCCCCTGCCGAGTCAGATTTGTTCGTACTGGGACGAGGAGAAGAAGGAGATGGTCAGTGAGATTGTTTCTCATGCTGGTTAGGCGCAGCTCATGAGGAAGAGAGAGTGGTGATGGCGGTTCGCAGGTTTCAAAGTAGTAGTTGTTGCTGGTGTTGGAAAGTAAGGGCAATTTTCCTTGATTTGGAGTACCAGTATAGAGTGGATGTGTGTGTGTGTGTGTGTGTGTCTTGATGCCTAAAAGCAGGAGTAAATTCTTTTTGCTTCTTTTCTTTTTTCTCTCAGAGAAGGTGGAATGCGATTCGTTGGTTAATGAGAGTAAATATAGCGTGGTTGTTAAGGTGGTTTTTCTTTTGTTGGAGAAAAAGAAAGTTTGTTGTTCTAGCGAGCTTTTTCAGTCAGTTAGTTAGAACTATACCTTCTGCAATACCACAGACCTCTTGAATTAATCATTGTTGGCTGGCGCGAGACTTGGGTTTTACCATATACCTACTCCACGCTAAATAAACATATATATATAAGGGGGATCCTGCACAAACAAAGCCATCAGGAACTGTGAGTGGCACTAATCTCGGCAAAAGAATTGGAATAGCCAAACGCTTTCTATAAATTCTTATTTGTATCTCTGATGATGATGATGATGATGATGATGATGGTCTGCTGTTCTAGAAATCCAACTGGCTAGCTAAGCTACTGTTTGCTAACTATCGTTATAAATAAGCCAAGGCCAAAAAAAAAAAAAAAAAAAAAAAAAAAAAAAAAAAAAAAAAGGCCAAAAAAAAAAAAAAAAAAATGCTCATGTTTTTATATATAAATTGGCCATATTTAAAAACAATGATGATATAGTAAATAATACAAAATGATGGTTGCGTGGTTAAAAGATCATCCCCTCTCTTAAAGCTTAGCCTTGGGAGCCTCAATAGTAGGAATCAAGAGATCCCTCATCTCTCCGGCGGCCTCATTGATGTAGTAACTCATCTTGTCGCTTCCAAGACCCTTGGAAACAATGTTGAAGTTGAGGCTGTTTTAAAAGAGAAAAGTCAGTAAACTGCCATCATAACTTGCAAGGAGAGAGGGTTCAAAACGTACCTGTTCTCATTAATCATATAAGCAATACCAAATCCACCATCAATAACCTGGCTCCACCCGTACCCATTGAAGAACTCCGAGCTCAGCTGAGAAGTAGACAAGTACCAAGAGCTAGAGTACCCGTACGCAGGGTCCTTGTAGATAGCAGGAAGCTCCTGACCAGATTCAAGAAGACGCTTAAGGCCAAAGAGATGACGGTCAACACCCTTGCCGTCAGAAGCGGCGCCGATGTACTCAAGATGAGCATCAATGGCCTTGCGGAAGAGCTGGACCTTGGTAGCATCATCAACTGAGGGGTCAGACATGGAATTGGTCCATGCGACGGAATCCTCAGAGACGGTACGGCAGGTCTCGGTACGGCCCTGCTGGAAGCGGCGGGTAGCAGCCGACTCGTAGGTAGGGCGGTTCTTGCCATACATCTTGTAGTAGGCGAGCTGGATGATCATCTGGACATAGGCGTCGGGAGAGCACTTGAACTTCTTGATCAAGCCCTTGCCATAGCCCTGGTAGGCCTGAACGGCAAGCTGGTGCTGACCGATGACCTTCTTGAAGTCGGTAACGGCGCGGTCAATCTCAGCCTGGACCTTGTCGTTGACAACGAACTTGATGGCCTGGGGCTCGGGAAGGTTGGAGCGGACGGAGGGGTCGGAGAAATCGAGCTTGTTGTTGAAGATGAGGTCATTAACGTAGTCGTTGAGCCTGTGAGTGGGAGTGCCGTCCATCATGCTGTGCTCGCCCATGAAACCGGAGGTGCCGTTGTCGTTGATGATGAACTGAAGAGGCTTGTCGTACCAGCGGTTCTGGCCATCACCGTGCCAGTAGGCGTGGGCGCGCTCCTCGAGTGTGACTGGCTTGGCATCGTCAAGGCAGATGACGAAAGAAGCGGCCTCAATGGCCTCGAGGGCCGCGGCGTTGGAGGAGTCGGCCTCGAGGAGGACGGCGCGCGCATCAGTCCAGACGTCGCGGTTCTCGGAAGTGAGGGCACCGACGGCGGGGGCGCGCTCGCCAGCGAGCTCGTAGACCCGGCGGAAGGCCTGCTCGAGCTCAGAGGTGTTGAGCTGCTGGCCATTGGCCTCGTGCACAACCTTGAAGAACTGGTTCTTGCGGATGACAAGGATGTGCTTGTTCTGAGCGGCATCAAACTTGACCGGGTAGTCCGCAGGCTTGGCAGGTACACGGCTGGCGTTGAACATCCACTTGTAGCTGTCCATGCAGATGGGCAGCTTCTTCATGTACTCTGGCTCAAGGGTGCCGAGGTCGACCTGCTTCTTGAACTCGAGGGCGGCGGTGGTGATGGCGGCAGCGCGCTTGGCGGGGTCGCGCCGCCTCCGGTCATCCCGGTGAGAGTAGAAGTAGCTGACATAGGGAACAACCGGGTCGCGGTAGCTGAGGTACGCCGCGTCGTTCCACCACTCGTACATCCAGTTCTTGACCTTGGGATCCTCGCGCCTGGCGATCAGCTTCTCCTGCAGCTTGCGACCGGGGCCATTTGGCGCAATGAACTCCTGGACGGCCTTTGTGCTTTTCTCGAGCTCAGCGGGGGTGAGCAGAGGCTTCAACGACTTGATGTACCGCGCGGCGGTCTCTTCGAGGGCTGGTACTGGGAGCTTGGGGAGAGACTCCTGGAAACGGAGCATTGGCCCCTTGGACTTGTCCTCGACGTAGCCAGCCGGGAGGGAGCTGTTGTTTCTCCTGGTTGCGGGAGCCATTGCTGCTAATCTCTGGGTTCGGGACGACCGGGTTAGTACTTGGGGAGAAGAAAAAAGACGAAAGATGGAAAACCACGCACCACTGGCGTTTGAGCGTGTCTGGTGAGGAGGTTTCTAAGAGCGGGAGACCGAGCCTCTTTCCTTGCGACTGCGGCAAACATATCCCGATGTCTAGTTACAAGTGGAGAGTCGGTGGTTTCGGACAAGAAACGGGAGAAGGGGGGCGCAATTAATCCAGGCGCAGAAAAAAAACAACGGAAACAAGAAACAGCCCGGGGGAGCAGGACCGGGACGGAGACGAGAGATATTAGATTCTATCCAAGGAGAGAGATGGGGATGGAGGGACAGTTTGGTCAACAAGACCGAGCGAGACCAGAGACAAGGCGCGGGATGTCGGGGAGATTTGGCCGAGCGAGACAGGGGTCTCTTTGCTTTACAAAAAAAGGGAAAAAAAAAAGAAGAAAAAAAAAGAGCCTAGGCACAACAATTGTCTCTTACACTACACAAAAAAACAGAGTTTCGTTCCTGCTCTGTTGCTTCTGCAGCATGCCGGAATGGCAGGTTCAGGGTGCGATGACCCGCGTGCCCGCCAGGTCCCGCCATGAGAACCCCTCGAGCCGAGGCTAATTGCCGTCATTAGCCCACCTTTTTCCTGGGGGCAAGCGAGTCAGCGGGGTCTAATTCTGGTTCCCCAGAACGACCCCCCAGTGCCCCCCTGAGCAAATGCACAGCATGCCATTGGCCCGCCAGGCCATTCCCTGCTGGTCATTCTTCGCTGACGTCGCTGGCTGTGATGGTCAAGTGCCCAGGTGGCTTGTTGCGGGTTAGCGGATGATACCGAAACCGGTCCACCGGGGACGCGAGGACAAGAGGGTACGCTATAAACAGCCATTTCACATGTCAAAGACCGAGGAATTCCTTTTTCTCGAGCCATGCGCGCGGAAAACTTTATGCAACCAAAATTACCAACCTAGGCAATAAACGCTCATGGCCCTCAGCCTGACATACCAGGACATATAGCATGTCTCTACGCAGCTAGGAAAACCGGAAGCTCCCGTTTCTGCCATGGATGTCCCGGTGAGTTTGATTCAAACTCCGGGGAACCTGGAAACTCTTCAATCCGGACTATCAAATGGCGGGATGGCCGAGTGGTCCAAGGCGGAGGATCTAAGTCATGTATTTCTCTGATGAATTTGCTTGAACTCCTCTTCTTGAGAGAGAGCGTGGGTTCGAACCCCACTTCCGTCAACGGATTCGTTTTTGGGCTTCGGTCACTGCCGCTTCTTTATGAGCATCGAGTTCAAGTCAACAATGCCGAGGATGTATCATTGACACAGCTCTGATTTCCCGAAACGACATTACAAGACTTTGGAATTAAGATTAGCACATGGCAAGTACCGGGTATTAGTGTCATCAAAGGTAGGATAATTCATATGTATCTCATGGTGTCTTTTGCCTCGCCGCGACGGTATACAATAATACTACCTAATAACGGAAAGCCACTCTCAACTCTCTCCCATAAAGCCAGAAGAAAACCAATGTCCCTCCCCTCCCATCAAACCCTCCCGCTGCCAGGGAGGAAAACAAAGAAAACAAGCAAAAAAGGTGGACATCTTTCTTTTTTTTCATACACCACACAACACACACAAGCTGCCCAATAATAACCCACCACAATATTTGTTTGCTCCATAACCCAATGACGCCGCGAGAACAAGGAAAATAAAAAGAAACAGAACTAAAACTGGGAAAAGTAAAACAGGGCAGAGGACAAACCTATTGCCCAGCAAATATTTCTAAACCTAAAGATAAGTTTCCCCTCTTTACAAAACCCTTCAATCCCCACAGATCGCGTTACATAAAAGCGGTCGGCTGCTGAAACACGAACGTCGAGGGGGGGGACGCAGCCTGAAATGGATTCGTCGTATTCAGGTTCAAGTGTAGCTTGGCACCATTCGGCATCATCCGCCGCTGTGGTATGTGCCATCGTTCCTGTGGCTGTTGCTCTGGATGCTGCTGCAACTGCTGCGAGGAAGCCTAAGCCTCGTAGCTCTTGCTCAACCCCGCGGCGCTAAGCGGCTGTACCGACCCGGCCCCGGGCGGCGCGTGAAAGCTCACCCTCTCAGCATCAGTCAGCAGCTCCTGGGCCATCCTATACCCTTGCTCACCGCCAACAGCCGACGCCTGCTTGAGCGCTTCTTGCGCCTCGCGGACTCTGCGCTTGAAAGCAAGACGATCGAGGAAGAGTTGCTGTCTTGCACGCTCAAGCTCCCGACGCTCGGCCTGGAGGATGGCTTCCATCTCATCAAAGTACTTGAGCTTGAGCTCGTTCTTCTCCAAAGTGATGTTGACAGCAGCGGAGACCAGCCTGGTCATCTCACGCTCCTCATGTGACGCAAGTCCACCGGCTCTGGCTCCGAGAGATGCCAATGGAATGTTGGCCAACGCCGAAGTCTTGGTAGTAGTCGTGGTGGTGGTTGTAGTGGTTGTCGTAACCTCATGTCTGATATCGACCTCCATAGAACCGTCTCCTTCCTTCTCCTTGCCCTTACCGTTTGCTTGAGCTTCCTCAGAGCCAGCCTCGAGCTTGTTGCGAAGGTTCTGCTTGAGGAGCTCGGCCGACTTGCCAGCAGCTGCCGCGGTGCTAGCGGGATCTGCGAGACTAGCGAGGAATCCAACAACTGACATGACCGGGTTATCTGTCTGGCTAAATGGAAGCTGGCCGCCGTGGCTGCCGAGCAACTGAATACCAACCGGCGCCTCCACCTTCTCGGACTCTAAGTACTTATCCTCAATGTCCAGCTGAAGGAACTTGAGAACGCACTCCTCCCGTGTCCTAGTCCCGACATAGTCGGAAATTTCGCCCCAGTCCTCGTCATAGCGCTCAAGACCCTCGAGCAATCTGAGGGTCTCGGCATCACTCCATGGCGCATCTCTATCAAGAACAGATGAGTATGTTGGGTTCTCCATCCGGGTGTAGTGTGCGCTGGTCTGGTTGCCGGGAAGACGACCCTCCAGGTAGCAGCTCGGGCACAGGTCGTACTTGGCCTTCGAGTTGGGGTCTGCCTGGGAGCTGTGATAGTAGATGCGGGTGCAGTCGGTACCGCAGTTGAAGCAGTTCACCCTGAGAATAGGCGCCTTGGTGAGCTCCTCGGTTCCAGAGACGCCATTGGTGGTTGGTGTCTCGCCATTAGCCTTGGGTTCGGATTTGGTAAGCTTGATGTTCTTGGCGTTGGCCTCGTAGATGTTGCGGCCAACTTCGAGGCTGAGTTCGCTCTTGGGCGCGGGTGTTGCGCTGGCCTTGACCTCCGTGTCCCTGCTCGGTTTTCCTTCGATCAAGACGGGGTCCGCTGATGGTTGCCATGGTTGGAGACCACGAGGAGTATCGCAAATGATCTTGAAGTGGCCAGTAAAAGGGGGTCCAACGTGGGATGGTCTTTGCTCAGTGTCAACCTGCGTCTGGGTTAGCATTTGGGACACAAACAATCGCCGGGCTTGCACCTACCTGATAGTTGATCAGTCCCCACTGCTCGAGGAAGGCATGAACACGCATGATGGCACAAACGTCGCCAGCCAAGTTGCGACGGCAGGCAGTGACCGTAAGGTACTCGACGGGGTTGAGGCGGTACGCATTGATCATGAAATCACGGTAATCCTTGTATACTGCGGGGGTCTTGCTTCTGTTCCGGTTGTTGAAGAATTCAGGGAGCGCTTTCCTCTCAATGTTGTGAATGCTGCCCATATCGAACCATGTGCTGTAACTTGGAAGGACGATTGAATGTGTCTGAGAGATCAGATGTTCCCTTGCGGCATTCTCGATAGCCTCCTTGGACTTGACGTCGGCCGGGCCATCAGATGCGCCGGCGCCCTCAGCTTGGCCAGCCTCGTTCTTGGGCGCGTCGCCCATTTCCTCATCTTCGCGGGCAGTCGACTCGGCAGGTGGGCGTTCAGGCGCATCAAGGGGGTTATCTGATGGCGCGCCAGGTGCAGGCGTTGTGCTGTCTTGCTTGATCGTGGGTTCGGGTCCTTCGCTCATCTGCACATCTAGAGAGTCGCGTTAACGGGGAGGCTGGGGAATACTGCAATTAAGGGCGCTGCATACCTTCATTTTGATCGTTGGTATCCGGAAGGGGTGGCTGCGCGAGGATTGGGTTGGCGCCTGGCGACGCGGCATTGATCGGGGTGCCGTAGCTAACCGTGCTGTCCTCCATGGTGATGGCGACAGTGGGGGGACAAGGGAGAAGCGAAGAAGCCAATAAAACGGATAAGGTACCGACCGGTCCTCTAGAAAAACAACCGAAACAGCTTTTGTAAAAAGCTGTGTATAATTGCTTCAAAAACAGGCGGCAATAACCAGGCGTAATTCAAAGTGGTTGTATGCAAGGAGGTTGGAGATGGCGGTTCGCGCAAAAGGCGAGGGTTTGCGGTGGTCGCAAACTGGGGGGGTTGTTCGTGATGATGGATTGGTCGCGTTGGAGAAAATGTTCGCGCGCCGCCAGTTCTGCTTGAGCGAGCCAGCTGGAGCACTTCTGGCCATTGGCCAAGAATCCTCCCAAGCATTGGCCCATGTCACATGACTTTATCCACTAGCCACTGCGCACCCAGCCACCTATCCTCGAGCCACCCGAGCTAGCTCACCACCTCACCTCGTATGCCCCGCGCTAGAGAGCGAACCGGGAAGGGCACCCCTTGTCAGTCAGAAGCTAGTAACCTCGGGCCGCTGCAATCCGTCATTGTTTCTCGTCCCTCCTTCTTCCCCAGAATCCCCAGAGTCCACATTGACCGTCTGTCAGTGTGCAACCTACAGGCCTCTTCCCCGGATCTCCGACAAACAATCTTCACCTCCAATTGCTTTCTCGGCAACAGGTCGTGCCTCACAATTCCTTTCACAATGTTGTCGTCGGCCGGTCGCCGGGTATTCTCGGCGCTTGCCCGCCCGACCCTTCGAGATGCGACAATGACCTCGGCCAGGTCCCCCGCCGCCCTCCGCCGATTACTCTCCGCCCTTGCGATCCTCGAGCAGCGCGATGGTGTTCTTAATGCCGGCTCGTTGAGCGCAATCACTGCCGCCCAGAAGCTCGGCGGTTCCGTTCACGGCTTTGTCGCCGGCAGCAATGTTAAGCCAGTCGCCGAGGAAGCTGCCAAGGTCGAGGGCGTTGAGAAGGTCATTGCGGTGGAGAATGGTGCATACGACAAGGTTGGCTTATGAGGTCCTAGCCCCTTTTGTTTACATTATACGAACCAACCTGTGTTTTGTCACAAATAGGGTCTCCCAGAGAACTTTGCGCCCCTCCTCGTCGAGAACATCAAGAAGGGCGGCTACACCCACGTCATCGCCGGCCACACTGCCTTCGGCAAGAACCTGATGCCCCGCGTCGCTGCTCTCCTCGACTCGCAACAAATCTCAGACATCACCACGATCGAGAACGACAAGACCTTTGTCCGCCCCTTCTACGCCGGTAACGCCATCGCGACGGTCGAGTCTTCGGATCCGATCAAGATTATCACTATCCGTGGTACCGCTTTCCCAGCCGCCGCTGTAGGAAGTGGCTCTGCTGCCGTGGAGGATGGTGTTGACCCCAAGGCGGAGTGCCCTACCGAGTGGGTTTCCGAGGACCTAGCCAAGTCTGATCGTCCAGACCTCGCCACGGCGCCCAAGGTTGTTTCTGGTGGAAGAGGTCTCAAGTCCAAGGATGACTTTGACAAGCTGATGCTCCCGCTTGCCGACAAGCTCGGCGCGGCCGTTGGTGCTTCGCGCGCGGCCGTTGACAGCGGGTATGCGGACAACAGCTTACAGGTTGGACAGACGGGCAAGGTTGTTGCCCCGCAATTGTACCTGGCTGTTGGTATTTCTGGCGCTATTCAGCATTTGGCTGGTATGAAGGACAGCAAGGTGATTGCGGCCATTAACAAGGATGCGGATGCGCCTATTTTTCAGGTGGCTGATGTTGGACTTGTTGGGGATTTGTTTGAGAAGGTGCCCGAGTTGACGGAGAAGCTGAGCAAGGCATAAACCTTTGTTCTTGTTTCTGTATTACAGCTATTATACAAATGTACCAATAATCTTTGTACATGAGAACTTTTTTTGGGTTTAGACAGACAGCAAGCATTGCCCATCTTGGCTTCACTGCCTTGGAGCAGCCAAACGTCTCACCAGCACGTGTACTGTGATCACCTCAATACAGCCAGCATATCCCCAGTCCTAACAAACTTCTCTCTCACTTTCCCCTTCCCCTTCCCCTTTTCCCTCT